TTGGAGGACGTCAGATTCCCGTCTTTTCCCTCACATACCCCGGAACCCTGGACCCCCCTCCCCTCCCTCCAGCACTTTGTAAATAGCATCACCTGGTGTCGTTGTGTAAATAAAATCTGTAAATCCTGTAAGGAGTCCCGGTCTGCGCCTGAGTCCGTTAACTGAAACCTGACAGGATGTACACTCCAAGGTCCGATCACAAACTTACAACCCGAGGACAGTTCCACGCATGCCCAGTGTTTGTTCACATCTTTCAGTTCAGATTCAGGAGATCCATTCCAGCACATCCTCGTGTCCGCTGATGGCTCTGAATCCGTTCAGCTACCTCCTACTCTACCATCAGCAGTTTCTATGTCGTCGCCTGCAGTGCCGCCATCACCAGACTCACTGCCTGTGGCTGCCATTCCGCCAGAGGTCACTGCACTTCCTGGTCCTAACTCACCTGGTCCTGTCTCTACCAAGCCCCGTACATTGTGCCCAGTGCCTGCAGAACTGCCTGACGATTTGCAGTTATGTGCCTGCAGCTGCATCCCATTCGGTCGGCATTTGGACCTGCTTCGCCGCCACCGCTGGCTCCACGGTCGGCCCCCTGAACTGCTTGGCCTGCGTCGTCGACCTCTGGGTCGACCTCCTGAACTGTCTGGCCCGTAGAAAAGTAACACTCCTAAAGAGCCCAGATGAGCGCATCAGAACTGTAGAAGTCTTAGTGCAGGACAGAACCTATATCAGACCTGTGGTGTGTCTGATTCCTCTGCCCCACTTCCTGACAAAGGTCAACTCTAACCAGTTAAACATATTTCTCGCTAGAAATATGGGGGCGGCTGTTGTAAAGACTCACCTTTCAGCACACTTCACCAGATGCACCTTTTTTCTTTTCCTCACCTTTGATTGGGTGTGGTGCTTGCCCTTAATTGCACTCACCTGTCACCCGTTATATAAGGACTGCACTCACCTACCGCTAACTCTTTCTTTACTCCCACATGGGGCGGCAGCTGAGGTGAGTTTCTGTTTGAGTCTCCTGAGTGACACACTTTATTTTCTTTATTTCCTTTCAGTTAGCAGTCCATGCGTGTCTTTCCTTTTGCTCATTATTCAGTAAAACAAGAAACTTGCAAGTGATTGTTGACTGTTCATTCTCATCCTGACCGAATGAGCCCATGATGGTAACAAGCTCCAACCTCCTCTGAGCCTTCCTTCAAAACATAACCCTTTCCTGACTGATAGATTCTCAGTTGCTTCTTTAGATTGTGGCATGGTGTGTTGCTTTTTGAGATCTTTTAGCCTCCTTCACATTGTCAAACAGATCCTGAGTGATGCGTTGATTCAAGCCTGAGTGAAACTGAACTCAGCATTCCAACAAATGTCGTTAATCACAGTTACTTCATGATTTAACAAGAGGGGCAATTACTTGTCCACACAGGCCCAGGTGGGTTTGGATAACTGTTCTCCCATAATGAATGAAATCATCGTTTCGAAAATACATTGTGTGTTTACCTGTGTTATCTTTGTCTAATAGTCAAATTAGTTTGATGATCTGAAACATGTAACTTCTAGAAACATTAAATATACCGTAATTGTCGGGCTATAAGCCGCTACTTTTTGCACAAGCTTTGAACCCTGAGGCTTTTAGTCAGGTGCGGCTTTTCTATGGATTATCCATGATTTTTGTGATATCGTAAGACGATTTGTTTTGTTTGTTCCGCTGTCGTACGGCACTACGTTGCCTGGCGGAAGGGCATGTGATCAGACACACAGTGTCGGGGTTCAAGAGTGGTATGTTGGTCACATGTCCATCCGCCAGGCAACATAGTGCCGTACAAGTAGCGCGAAAAACAAACTTCAAAGTAGCGCTACACGTTCAGCCGGAGGCGTGGATGACGAGCAGCGATAAACTTGCGAAAAGCAAGTTATGCTCAACTCCACCGGTGGAATCTGACAGCGTGGAAAAGTGTGAAAACATCCACGATCACCAACGGATTTCAAAGGGCTGGACTGCTGCATGATGGAGAGGAGGTGTCAGTGGTGTGTGACATTTTTAAATACGATGAAGGAATACAAGACAGTCATAAGGAGTTTCATAGAGCTACGTGCACGGGTGAGTGATCGGGTGATACTCACAACCGAGGCATTGCTGTCAGATTTATTTATACCAAGAGACAGTTGCATAGCATTTCCTGTTTTTCAAGCTTACTTATCAGCATGTGTGTGTGTTCTGTGTGTGTGTGTGTGTGTGTGTGTGTGTGTGTACGTGACAGGATGTAATGGCATGTGATACTAAAATATATGAACATTTTAATACATTTGAAAGCTTTATAACGGAGGTATCTTTTAATAATAGACATCTGCAGTTTAAACTTAAAAGTTACTTCTATCCGGAGGACACCGCCACGGCCCTTCAGAGGGTGTTCAACTCTGACACTGACAACGAGGATTTGTTTGGTTTTGAAAGTGACAACGAAGGAAAGAAGCTGAGAGTGGATGACGAAGCCACCCTGAGCCTGTTCGTATCCGACACTGGAGGAGAGGACTTTGGTGGTTTTAGTGCGCAGAAAGATGGTGGTGAATGACTGACTTTTCTTCTTGTTAAAGCCGTGTCACTGCACCTGAGCCTAAAAGGTAGTCCGAATCTATTTTTCTGGTGTGCTGTAGGTTATTGTTATGTACTACATTTGTTAATCATTTATGAAGCACAGTACATGTTTTGTACTTGTAATTACCGCTACTTGTACATATACCTAAAAAGTTATGCAAATACCCGTAACTTGTTTTTCAAAATATTAATAAAAGGGATGTGTCTCCAAACAGCCATCTCTTTCCTGACATACAATGAACCTTTCCATCTGTAAACCTGCAAACCCTTGCAAAGACACTGGGTCCCTGTGTTTGCTATTAGAACCTTTCATTCAGCCTTTTAATTTCACATTGATGGTGCAGGGACATTCACTGGCTACCTTGCAACAAACTGCAAGGCAGTTTGTAAAAGAAGCACAGGTGTCTTTTTTGTTATGGTGTCTTCTGCCAACATTTTTCTTCTCTTTTTTTTCATCATCTTCAAAGCTTTTTTACCCACCCATGTTCTTGGGCATTTTGTTAAAGAGTGAAACACTAAGTTATGTCAAAGTTGACAATGTTACTTCAAGGCTGACAATCATATGTTGTTTTCTCTGTCATCTCTTGGGGATGCTAAATTATGAAAGCACAAATCAAAGGAAATCAAGACATTATGTCAGGGTCTGGGAGGGTACCTGCAGGTCTCCAACAGCGGCCCCTTCCTCCTTTAGGCGGAGTTCGGTTGCTCCTCCCTGGCTGACCACCTGTGAGCAATTATTCCGGCAGTATATCAGACCTGCGCTCTCAACCATTCATCGCCTGAGTATCTGCTATCCCCATAGGTAGCACCTGGAGTGGAGGTCTTGTCTCCCTCACTCCCGCCTTCCTGCACCTGGGCCGCTTGCTGCTGATACGACGTGGCCTGCGGGCCCACCACTCACTTGCCTGCCTCCCCACATCTCGACCGCTTCCGGGCCTTCCGCCCCACCTGTCCCCCCCACCTGAAACCAAGTAAGGCAACTCAATTCAACTGTGGAGGATCGTTGATTGTCTGCTGGATCCCACTGACCGTGATCTCCTCTTTTTCCAGTGCCCCAGCAGGTGTCTAGGTCACCCTCCGTTATCTTAGATTATCCTACGCGCCACTAGTGTGGTGGCGTCATTTTGTTTTTTTGCTTGTGTTTGCCTGTGGGCGGAAATAAATCCTTTGTTCCCTTATCGTCTCGCTTCCGGGTTGGTTTCTGCACCTGTGTCCATCTCTGTTACCTCGTGCCGCTGGGCCGTGACACATTAAACCTAAAGGCTCTGAAGCAAGTCTGAACCCTTGCCACTTCAGTTTGCAGGGAAATAAAGCTTGTTATATAGATTATATTGCATTGATTGAAATCTGTCCTACTATCTTTCAAACAGAAAAGGAGACCTTTCTGGAGCCATTTGTGCTTAAGGACCTGCTGCCATCCTCACTGGGAAGTTATTATCGTTACACTGGCTCTTTGACCACTCCACCCTGCAGCAAGGTGGTAGAGTGGATCATTTTCAGCAGTCCTGTCTACTTCTCTTACAAACAGGTAAGAAGCATGCCAGTAATACAGCTGTGTCAACTTGTTTCCTTAGTTATATAAGAATAACACCACTCATTTAAACATATTGCAAAACCTTATTTTTATTCTATGTTAATGCTGAAGTTAAGTAACCACAACCTATTTTATAAAATGTAAAAAATTCCCCTCTCTCCTCTGCTGGCGGTCTATCCCTTAAGCTCGGGTTCTCTACTACGGGCCTGTGAGCATGAGGGTCCTCGTGTCCCCTTTTCCTGATGTTGCTGTCATTTGCTATGGCTACGTCTAACACTATGGCCGTCTTCCTCTCCTCCACCCCTACTATGTCCGGTTGGTTAGCCATCATCAGTTTGTCCGTCTGTATCTGAAAGTCCCACAGGATTTTAGCACAGTCATTCTTGAGCACCCTAGTGGGTGTCTCCCATTTTGGCTGCTCTTGCTCCTCTTTCTTGGGTTTCTGCTGTCTGAGGTATTCACTGAGCATGTGGTCAGTTGTCTGATGTACTCGTGGATGTTCATTGTCTTATTCTGGATGTGGTTCTAGCGTACAGATTCAGTGTGCTGGATTTGGGGTGAAATCCTCCATGAATGGTCAGGAGCTTGTTATCCCAGCAGGATACCTGATCACCAACAGGGCATAGGTGTTGATAACCCGGATCTTGTTCTTGCCATTCAGCTGACTAATCAGGACTTGCCTTACTTTCTGCAGGTACTTGGTGGTTGCAGCTTTCCTAGCGGCCTCGTTATGGTTCCCATTTGCCTGTGGGATTCCCAAGTACTTGAAGCTGTCCTCAACAATGTTGCCTTCTGGTAGTGTGATGCCCTCAGTTCTGACTACCTTTCCTCTCTTTGTTACGATCCGATTACACTTCTCGAGTCCAAATAACATTCCAGTTTCGTTGCTGTAGATCCTTGTGGAGTGGATCAGTGAAGTGATGTCCCATTCACTCTGGGAATACAGCAAGATATCATCGATGTAGAAGAGGTGGTGTTACTTAAAGCAGTTTCACTCCGGTTCTTTTTTTAATCGTTGGGTCTCCAGAGACGGCACCGGACTGAGTAGTTATTTCACAAAATCTTTATTCATCTTCAGTTACGCATGCACCTTCTAGAAGGAGGGACGTTCAAGGCTGGTGTCCCTCTGCAGATCTTCACTTCTTTGTTTTGTTACAACCAGCTTTATAGAAGCGACCCCATCATAAAACCCACATGATGTGTTGTAAACTCTGTGTTTGTATATGTATGTGCAAGCACGTGAGTGCCAGTGTGTGTGCGTACCTGTGTGTTTATGTGAGTGTACATGAGTGACTGTGTGTGTGGGTGGGTGTGCGTCGCCACAGTTAAAGCACAGTGTGTCTCTGTGTATGTGACTTCCTACTGGTCATAAAAGTCCATCTCCCCTCACCCAAGCTACACCAAATTCCTTTACAAAACATACAAAACACAGTTAACATATTACAAGCACTGAGACCCCCACTCTGCATCCACTGGGCCATTGGCCTCTTACTTTAACAGCTAAGCATGTGGAGGGTCTCCTGCAAACCTACTTCTAAGTTATGACAATTATAAGCTTTTCACGTACTAGCATTAGCATCCCCCATCTGTAGCTTCCTGTTTCCTTTTATGACAGGCTGACACCTGGTGTGCATAAATTCCTCTCCCTCTACTGTAGCTAAACCAAACTGAAACCCACAGACAAATCCTTCCCTATTCCTCTGATCTACTGCTGGACCCTTTCATCTAAGCAAATTTAACACATTATATTCTAATAATTGTTTTCTTGTACTCACAGTGGCTGATATCCTTAGACAGTCTTGTTAATGATCTCATTGAGGAGGTCCAGGCCTATGCAGAACAGCAGTGGGGACAGCGCATCTCTTTGGTAGATCCCGCTCTTGATGGTGACGTGTGCTATAGGCTTTCAGTCGGCCTCCAATGTTGTTTGTCACATCCCCATTGAGTTCTTGATGAAGGCTCTAAGGGTCCTGTTGATCTTGTACAGTTGTAGTCATTTCAGGATCCAGGTGTGGGGCATCGAAGCATAGACCTCCTTGTAATCAATCCAGGCAGTGCACAGGTTGGTCACTCTAGCCTTGCAGTCTCGGGCAACTGCTTTCTCTACCAGCCGCTGATGTTTCGCTCCTCTGGTATTCCTGCCAATTCCTTTCTGTGCCCCACTCATGCATTGCATGTTCCGGAATGTATTCACTATGGAATGTGAGAAGGAAAAGTGTGAACAAAGCAATAAAATCATTTACAACTTTTGTAACTGACAGGTCTGTCACGGTGTGAGCCGTACAGACTGGACCCAGAGCAGATTTAACACAGAAGTGGAGCGTACATGACAAGAATTTATTACAGTGAGTGAAACTGTGGAACAGGGTTCATACGCCTTTTTCAGGGTCAAATTCAAGCAATGCCATGTGAAAATTAAGACAAATCATCTTAGGTGAACAAATCAACTTGTTAGAGACATTCTTCTCCTGTTGATAAAAAAACAACCAAAAATAAATGAGTCTTCTCATCAGATATTGATGCTTCTTTCATGTGTGACAAAAAATAGGAGACAGATGTTTGTTTGTTTGTTTGTTTGTTAGTTTTATTGGGAATTAACTTAGCTTCTCAGATGAGAGGTGAAAGGTCTTCAAGCAACTTTAAAAAATCCAGACGCTTTTCTTCCCAAGCTCCTTAGACTACAATGACCTGGATGACTGAGAACCTTCACAGACACATTCTATAGTTAGTATCTGAAGTCAGTTTTGGTAATGATCTGGCTGAGGCTAGCCTCCAGTGTTGTTCTCCACATCGCCTCATTGATCTTTTATAGTTCTAGACATTTCAGGTCCACGTGTTAGAGACTGAGTCATAAGTGTTCCTGTAATCAATCAAGGAGGTGCACATGCTGGTCAGTCTGGTCTTACAGTCTCTAGTGACTGTTCTATCTGCCAACAGCTGGTGTTTTGTCCCTGTAGTGATTCTGCCAAATTCCTTTCTGTGCCCCGCCCATGTACTGAGCAATGTGCCTGTTCATGCTAGACACTATGATGGCTGACAGGTTTCTTTCATGTTGTGCTGAGTCAGGTAGTTGACTTTGGGATTAGGACTGCCCAGGCTTTCATTAGCCATTCTGGTTGTGTCTCATCTATTAGCATTTTGCTCATTTGTGCTGCCAGACAGTCATGGCTACTTTAGCCAGTAGATGTGAATCATGCCAGGGCCTGTTCTGTCCAGCTCTTAGACAAAGACTTGCTCTTGGATGTCTGCCACTGTGCTTTAATCTGTTCTTAGATCCACTAGCCACTGGGCATTGTTGTCCTCTGCTGTATCCTTCTCCCATATGCTCAGTAGAACAGGACTGGTTCATCTCCAGTATTGGTGGGGCTGTTCTCATATTATTCTCTTGCCATTGACAGTATGTTTTGGATGGTTCCATGGAGAACATCTGGTATAGCATCCTGGCTTCAGTAATTGTGCGTCCCTCCATGGCTATGCCTCCCCAGACCATTACTGACCCACCACCAAATCTGTCATGTTGAGTGATGTTGTAGGCAGGGTAACATTTTCCACATCTCCTTGAGACCCTATCACATTTGCTAAGGGTGAACTCATACTCATCTGTGAAAAGCACAGGGCACCAGTGGTGGACCTGCTTATTTTGGTACTGGAATTGGCAGGTCCACTACCAAGAAAAATGGTGGTATTGGAAAGTCATGTCCGTGTGTATTTTTATCTGATCTGTTTGCTCAGGATTTGACAGAGACAGGCACCTGCTGGTCCTTGATGGGTCGTGGGAGTTCTAAACTTTGAAATAGTAACACAGCTCAGGAGTGATCATATATATATATTGCACAAGGAACAGAAATCCCACAGAGGATGCCTAGAGAGAAGATGGATTGATAAGAGGCATGGTGGTAAAGTGGTTTGCACTGTTGTCTTGTAGTAAAACGTTTCCTACATACTCGAAAAGGAAGGTTCCTGCATATCCTGCAGTTTAGATGGCCTGTGTATCCCTGTGAATGTTTCCTTCAGGCACTCCTGTTCCAGAGACAAGCATGTTATATTAATTGGTTATTCTAAATTAGCTGTGGATGCAACGTACATAAAGTGCTTTAAGTGTATAGAATAACATGCTCTGCTTTGAGTGGTCAGTAAGATTAGAAAGGCGCTATATAAAGAAAAGTGCATTATGCCTGCAAGCACAATAATCTGCAATGTAACTACGTAGTCTGAAAATAAACAACTTAGACTTAATTTACTCTAAGCTACCTGATCTCTTAAAAAATAAATCATGAAAAGGGTTCAACTTACAAAGCTGTCTCAGTGAAACAGTGGCAAGTCCCATACACACAAAGTTTTCTATCACTGTTTTGAATGGGCAGACAAGTATGCAATAATCAAGTTTTTTGTTCTAAATATTAATAAATGTTGAATTGATATTGAGATTTACAAAGGGTAATTACGAGTTGTTCTGGGTTTTTTTGTTTGTTTGTTTTTTTAGGACAAAGCATTTAAAATAGTATTTAACAGTTGAAGTGTTTATTGTCATGTGTCCAAAGGAAAAGAAGGCATTTCTCTGTGCAATGAAATTCGTTCTTTGCTGTCCACACACAGATGCCGATTAACATGTAAAATAGAAATAAAACATAAAATACAAATGGTACAAATAAACAGAAGAAGATAAAAAAGAAGACAATATTAAAGTGTGAAACAGAGATCTACAAAAGAGCTATGAGCTTAATATGCAGGGTGACTTGATGTGCAAAAAATTATTATTACTGTTCATAACAGTTGCAATGGTTACACAAACCTGTATGATAAATCCTAGAAGTTCGAGGTTTGTTTGTTTTGTTTTTTTTAAATCACTGTGGCTGTTATTACTCCGTGCTTTAGGTAAAAAGTGACCTGAGTGATAATTTTCTCCAATTAAGTTGTAAAACCACTCTGCTGTCTGAAAATGTGTTAGATAACTCCATTCCAAATTGATCTGTCCTTCCGCTTTTGGTGTAGAC